CACCCTGTGCAGAATTGGTTCTGGAACCTATACACGCTGGTATGAGGATTGGGTTCCACCAGTGGGTCTTGACGGTGACATACCGATTGATGGATTTGTACCGATAGACGGTCATTACCTTCTTGTTCGACTATAAAACACAACTGTCTCAAAAACTTTGCCGCATATCCTCATGAGCTTTTCGATATCGGCAGTTGTCCTTGCCGAAGCTTTAACATGTGTAAGTGATCTGCACCGGATGCGCATCGGAGAACCTACGGGAAAAGCTGGAAGTCGACGGAACTTGGAAAATGGAAAAGGACACAAGCTCCGGGCTCGGTAGGTCGATGGTCTTCAGTGTACAGAGTACTTAGCGGTGCAGGGATGGGCATCATTAAGACCCTCTATTGGTGTCGGGTGGCGCTGTATTCAAACCTTGAAACAGGCTAAATCTGTGGAAGCTTTATTGTTATTTATCTCGGCTAGAGATGGAGATGTGCTTGCCGAGTATACATAGGAACCATACCATCGTGTTAATATGCGATATTAAGTCAGAGAACCTGACATGGTCGTCGGCTGTTTGTTGATTTTATCCTGAATTGGCCTACCAGGGATTTATTTAAGAGATAGATGCCTTGACAAGCACTCAAGGAAGGGCACTCTACTCGCTGGTCTATTGTCAATCACTCACTGTCGCACATATTTCAGGATGAAGCAATTCTCTGCAAAATACGCCCTCATTCTTTTGGCGACTGCAGGACAAGCCCTCGCGGCCTCCACGCAAGGCATCTCCGAAGACCTCTACAATCGCTTGGTAGAGATGGCCACTATCTCCCAAGCCGCCTACGCCGACCTATGCAATATTCCATCGACTATTATCAAAGGAGAGAAAATTTACAACGCTCAAACTGATATCAACGGATGGATCCTCCGCGACGACACCAGCAAAGAAATTATCACCGTCTTCCGTGGCACTGGCAGTGACACAAACCTACAGCTCGATACTAACTACACGCTCACGCCATTCGACACTCTACCTCAATGCAACGATTGCGAGGTACACGGTGGATACTATATTGGATGGATCTCAGTCCAAGACCAAGTCGAGTCGCTTGTCAAACAACAGGCTAGCCAGTATCCGGACTATGCGCTTACCGTGACAGGCCATAGGTATGCGTGCTTACCGTCTTACAATTTGTTGTATGATATATACTAACTTTATGATAGTCTGGGAGCGTCGATGGCAGCACTCACTGCCGCCCAGCTGTCCGCGACATACGACAACGTCCGTCTGTACACATTCGGCGAACCGCGCAGCGGCAACCAGGCCTTCGCGTCGTACATGAACGATGCGTTCCAGGTCTCGAGCCCGGAGACGACCCAGTACTTCCGGGTCACTCATTCCAACGACGGCATCCCAAACTTGCCCCCGGCGGAGCAGGGTTACGCCCATGGTGGTGTAGAGTACTGGAGCGTTGATCCTTACAGCGCCCAGAACACGTTTGTCTGTACTGGGGATGAAGTACAGTGCTGTGAGGCACAGGGCGGACAGGGGGTGAATGATGCGCATACTACTTATTTTGGGATGACGAGCGGAGCTTGTACTTGGTAATCGGTCGATTCACCCCCTCAGATTATACAAAGAAGAATAAACCTCTCGAATAAGGCATGCATATAGGTATAATTCAAATGCACTCTAGAGATACAGCTGAGGATGGAATAAGCTCCTGTGATCTATAGATATAAATACCTTGATCATGAATCGAGAGACATCAAAACTTTTGTTTGATCGTAATTCTATGTCTCATTCTAAATGATACAAAATATTAACCATCGTTTACCATCAGAAAATCTGGTATCGCAAAGCCAGCAAAGGACGATCTATTTGAGAGACACCTGAAACGGTGAGCGAAACGTATCCATCCTGATTTGATCAAACGTCTCCATTCCAGCCTTCCGAAGCCCGGGGATCCCAGCCAGTGCCGTTGAATCTATATATAGTCCAGGAGCGCCACTAGTATATAGTGCCGTGAAACAGACCCACTTAGGTTCGTCTTTCTGTATTTCTGTATCCATACATCGTCGTAGGAGATCCATATAATCATTATGCTAAACCTTCTGCTTGATTGCCTAGGAAGGGTCGGTATGTGGCGGGTCATGACTGAAGTCCAGGATATGTAGACAGGCGAGAGAAATTCTAATGACTAACATAGAAGCCGCATATACATAATGGATATCAGAGCTGTGCAGGTTGGATAGCCCTTCTCTGAATAATTTCACCCCCGGTTAGTGATGCTTGATGGCAAATAGGAGGCAAGAAGTGTGTTCATTTCATGATTTTCGGCCGCCGGCAAGCTTCCTGAAGACAGATGGCGTCCGTCAGCCACAGACCTGTCAGACGAGAAAAGACCAACGCTGCTAATGCCAGGAGCAGATGCATCAGTGGTCCGTTCCACATGACGAGTGTATGGATGACCGAGGCCCAGATATGCCGACGCTGCGGGATTAGCGACGTGTTTCTGACCGTGTGCAGCACGAAGAGTTCGTATGAAGGTCGATCGTGTTCGGATGGTAAGACCCGCCGCCCACCACATGCAAAGATTCTGTCAGGCACACATCGCATTATAGTAGACTGCGGAGAGATTAAGAGCGTCCAGACCTTTACGTTAGTACTGAGTGGGTTGAAGTAACCTCATGGTATTTATCATTGCGAGGGTCGTTCGGGTCGCTGAGAGGCAGATTCTGCAGGCCAGGCGCAGGTCCCCTCTCAAGTCGCAGGTGTCGCACATAAATTTCACTTCTTACACCAAGTTTATGGGCATGCGCTTATGGCAAAAGAATAATCTTAGAGACATACCTTGGCTCTGCGAGCTTCGCAGGGAAAGCCTCCTCGGCACGACTTTGCGTTGCGTGCCTATACTATTCTGCGCGCACTTTTATCAGACAATTCCATCAGAGTATAAGGAGTCGAATGGCTCAACTTGCGTTGCCCCCGAAGGCCTTTTTATCAGCTGTTGTCCATTTTGCAGGAATTCGCCTCTTTGAATGGTCACTTGTGTTTCGTAGTTGCCTGTACTGACTACATGCGCACTTTTTTGAAACTGTCCGCCCTGGCTCATGGATTTTCTGATCCCAAGAGGAGAAGCCTTAGCGGCCGGGCCAAGTAAATCTGCCCGCCGGCAGAACAATTCTTAACTTCAAGTATTGGGACGTGCTCTGCCTCCCCCCCCCCTTTCAAGGCCTTGTAATCATACCATTCTCTTTCCCAGCACAAATCACCTCAGATATTTCCATAGCTTGGATACGCTGGAAGGCCATCCTTAAGCCATTACGGCGCGCGTTGGATGCTTTCCAAGGCGTTCAGAGTTGCACCGAGGTTTGTTCTGTTCGCTTTTTAGTGTCCCGCCAAGACATTCCCTTCTTGTTAATTTTCTGCCAGGCGCCATCTTATGCATCCTCATCGGTTTACTTGGGAGCCTTCTTTGTGCAACAATAATATCAGACCTAGGAGATATAGCATTACGCTGTCATGCGTTATCTTAAATTCTGTAGATTAAGACTTGAAGATGTATATAAGAATTTAGGCAGCATGTAGTCATACCCTGACCATGTCACCTAGGAAATCTACCATTGTACCCCCTCACCACAAAGACAAGTCCCGCCACTGTCAAAAAGCATGCAACAGCTCCTAGTATGAGCCCTATCCCAGCATGATCTGCAAGATAATTTAGCGCCCGGCCGTCCACCCCTTGCCAGGACCGCCCGGCGGCATGACGGACCACCAAGCCACCAAACCCGTTGTCGAGCAGCCCTATATCGAGTCGTGGCGTATTGTATAGTCAAGCATATTGCCTAAACGCTGCCGTCACCATGATTGGACCGGTGGACCAGAAAACCTGCAAGTATGGCAGGATTATGCCTCGTGATACCAGCCTGCTACTCCGCCGCTTGGCCTCGTAGAGCGCCCATTGCAGGAATGGCGATCCAGGCATTGCCATAAAGAAATGGTTACTGAGGCCGAGTGTGCCCGCTGTTGGTGAGAATATAGCCTGTAAGCTAAGTCTCTGGAGGCATTGAATATGCTGGGCTGATTTGGGGTTTACGTCCAGATCAGAATAGATGCCGCCTTCGGAATGAACGATAAGCAGCCTCGCAATGTCAGCCCGCTGAATATCGTGAGGATATCCTTCGTAGGTTGAGAGCAGCCAATCATAATCCGCCTTGATAAGCTCAAGAACGTCGTCGTCCGTCCACAGCTTGACTGTGTAATTGAAGGGTTCGAGCATGGCCCTCCATGATTCACGAGACGCGGTGATTGTGGGGGAGTATTCACGGATATCGGTTGTCTTCCACAGTTGATGAACAATGTTCGGTATCGCAGGATCGAGGGTAGGACGAGCGTTATTGATAGCTTCGAGCGCGTCAGGGGAACATGCGTCCACTATTTGTATAGAGTCTGACAAGTGTCCGGTGAGGGAAAAGTCGTCAGTGTAGCTGAACTGAAAGATGGCAAAGATGATGAAAGAGAATATTACTGCAACAGCAAGCTGCCTTGGTCTTCCAAAGACGACGGCCATGATTAATCATTATCACAAGACCGCGCACCGCGGTGGTGATGGGTCTTTAAGAATCAAGGTGCAACGTGGAAGGCAAAGCACCGGCTACATGGGCGTAGCACGGAGATATTACCTACGTTAATTGCTCCAGTAATTGTCCATGGCCGGAGTGGATGCCTGACCCGGAGGCCGGACTCAAAGAAAGGTCCTAGGTGCATCATGACCAGTCCACATTCATGTTGATCATGGCCTGTTTCTACGGAGCGCGTCTATTAGGGGGCTGAAAACCACGCCGGTGAGTAGTTTCGCACCAAGGATCAACCAGGATCGTACTGATTTAGCAACATCCGACACTTTGTCCATCTGAGACAAGCAATAAGCATGAGATTATTCTCTCCTCCAATTCGTCTCTTGGCGGGTATGGGCCGTCGAACTCTTGGTCTATATGGCTGGTGGTGATTGGATACCCCCAAACCTCTCGGACGGTTACTTCACACCCAAGAGCACCGTCTATTAGAGTGACTAAAGTTAACCCCTTGCTTGGCAAGGGCAACCGATACACCAATTTTGGACAGTCACAGATGCATCACTACTAGCTGTCACAACAAATTTTTTCGTCTATGCTTCCTGAACCTGCCTAGTTCATATTGCATTCGGATTGAGTGCGATCCTTCGGTAAGCAATTATTGCTACTGATATCTATTTCGAAGGTGTTGCCACAGAAGAAAACCTTCTCTCGTGACAATGAAGGTGAAAATTTCCGTCTTCTTGTGCCGAATACCTGCCAGTCCGACTCATCTGCTGCCCCAAGCGTGGTACTCTCGTAGACTCTTGCGTGTACGGGCACCTATTGAATGCAAGCGCGACATCCTCCGCCTTCGAAAGTATGCTGTTGCCTGGATAGTACAGGGGTTATCCTTCCCTTGAAGACTTTAATCGCTGACATGCCGTCAGAAAGTATACAGAGGTCGCCGGTTGAGTGCTAGATAGTTACTCGTCTTCAGTAAGACGAAGACAATCTCAATTTCCGAATAGTATCACGGAATACAGGAACCTGTCAGGTGATATTGACTGATTATTTGGTCCCCAAATCCAACTGGCCCTGTAGCTCTGACCCCAGTTGTGTTCTATTCGGAACAGCTTGGACTAATCGCTTACCTGGGTAGACAAATGCTTTGTTTGTGCTTGAAACCCCCGCTCCTTGTTGTTCTACTCGGTTACCCCACATTTGTCTTACAGCCGTTGGAAATATGAGTTTACTAAAGAGCTCTATATTTAGTCAAGAGAGTAAATGAAGGACATGTCCCTACAAAATCCTGAACCTAATGGATGTATTTACTTAGCTGTCGATTCCTGGCGGAGACAACGGATTGTTGCCTTTCCACATAAGGAAATGATTCCGCAACGCATGAGTCATGATCGTTGGCATTTCATGACCGGTATCTCTATTTCACTTGATATCCTGTACAACCTCCTGATATACAGGCTGAGAAAGGCTTATATATTTAAGTTGCTTAGAATTTCAATACGGTCTTGCCCGTATTCTTGCCATGAACTACCGACTGGACCTTCGGCTAAGTTTTCATTACCCTCAGTCGCGTGGATGATTACCTTCAACAAATTATTCTTGATCCACATCTGCACCGCCTCTTGGCGCTCCTTACTGTAAAGGGAACCTATATCGGTATAATTGGCCATAAAACCAATCATGATATGCTTGAAGAGCAAGATAGACGCTACTTAAACTCTGCTCCTCCTACCGTGTCAAAAAGAGGAAAGGTTTACGATGTAACGGATCTCTCTTCTCAAGGTCCCGAGACATTACCTGCTGATGGATTTGCGGTGGAACAGCGTAGCCAGACCACGGCTGGCCACTCTACTAAGTGCTCGCTGTCGGAGAAAAGGCTGGGATGTCATAATTAAATCGTGTTGCTGAAGCCATGCCGGATGATAACATCATCCACACCATGCAAAAGAATGTCAGCGGGCAAGACGCTTAAATTATATAGATATATTTGGTTGGCAAGTGCCCTCCTCAACGGCTCTTTTATTCTAAAGATACAACAGCTTTTCAAAGATTTGAATTACATCTCGCCCATGTCGGACTAAAGTCCAGGAAACTTGCTGTGATACTCACCAAAAAGACTTCTAACCATTGCTAAATTTATCTATCATATCAAAGATTTTACCAACACTTGGAGCTATGATTATATCCATCAATTAGCCACTACAGAGATTTTCTCCCTCCGGGCGAAATTGCATGCTGATTGGTAGATTTTGTCTCCAGTTCCAAAGTCCATGTGGCAGTGGAAGTCGGAGGAAGCTCGGAGGAATTCAAAATACCCCAGTCTGACGGGACCAGCCATTCTCGGAGGGGCTTAATCTTTCAAATTCCGGAATAACCTTCTCGAAGGACACCCAGGCGAGCCCCTGCTTGTTGTGCCCTTATTGCAGCGGCATAGAGACAACTAATGCGGGTGACCACTCCTCAGCTGCCAAGAAGAACAACTGCGCGGCCATTGACTTTCGACCGGCAGAACGATCGGTGGCAAGCAAGCAGGATGTATGGTCCGTTATCAACAAAGGCGCCGAGGCCTCTCCCATCAAGCCATGGGTAAACCTCAGTCAGGGCTGTTTGTGAAACTACCTCTCATTGAGTTTTGCGTAGTGACCGTCTTGTTAACGATGGCAGGTGAAGTGGATGGAATCCTCCGGAGTTCATCCGTGAAGCGGCTAAGCAGGCCGCTTCGAGTGTAACATGTATGCTCCAACCAAGAGTCGCTCGCGGCTTCGGGAGGCCATATCGAAGACTTACACTCCCCTTTCGGGTTGTCGCACAAACCCCGAAACCGAGGTACTTGTGACCACAGGGGCCAACGAAGGTATAGTACTAGCCCACGAAGCATTGGAAATGTTCTGTTTCCTGTCGATCGTGACTAACCTGACATAGGAATGCTCAGAGTATTGATGGCGTTTCTGAATCCAGGTGATGAAGTTATCTTTTTTGGGCCCTACTTTGACCAGTAAGTTGGCGCCCCGTCGCCCTCGTTATCGGTCGTGCTACTATCTATGCGACAGTTACACGCCCCGCTTGAGCTCGTCGCTCCTTGCCGGAAATATTTGGACGACTATCATATGGCTGAGGGTGTCATTCAATGCGTTCCTCTGCGACCCCCTGCGAAGGCAGACATTGCAATCTGCTCGTCCACTGAGTGGACCATCAATTTCGTCGAGGTGGAACAGTCAATCACCTCGCGCACCAAGATGATCGTCACCCGCCATAACCCTACCGGAAAGGTGTTTTCACACGAGGAGCTGCGGCACATCAGTGACATTTGCGTTCGACATAACCTGCTTGTACTCAGAGACGAGGTATATGACCAGCCCAGCAACGTGCCTTTTACACGAGTTGCAACGTAAGGCCCCGATGTGCAGCAACGTACTATCGCCGTTGGCTCTGTGGGAAAGCACTTTTTTTTTACTGGCTGGCGGGTGGGCTGGCTTATCGTTCCTGCTCGGTTGATGGATGCCGTTGCAACTGCCCACCTGCGCAATTGTTACTGCACGCCAGGCCCTTGACAGGAAGCAGCTGCAGCTACGTATGAGCAAAGCCTGTATAGTGGGTTTTGATTGCAGACGGGCACGTTGGTTCGAGAGGAGATTGTTAGGCTTTGTCAGGTCTTTCAGGAATGGGATTTTGCCTATACGATCCCGGAAGGCGGGTATTTTGTCCTCGTTAATCTGGCCAAAGTCCAGGTTCCCAGGGAGTATAGGCTCCCGCCATATATCTGTGAGCGCAGAAGGGATATCCTGCTGGCATGGTTCTTCATCATGGAACTGGGTGTGGCGGCCATTCTAGCGAGTGAATTCTACAGCTTGGAGCACGCATGCTTGGGAGAGAAGTATCTTCGCTTGGCGGTGTGCCAGGGCGATGACATACTGGATTTAGCCAAGGCCCGACTTTGCGGGTTGCAAGTGTATCTAACCGCCTAATAGATTTTACCCGAATTGGTGTATTCTGTGGCTTGCTTATCAGTAGAATCCCCCGGCGGGACTCCGGTCCCCCGTCAGCGCCCGGTAAGGTTCAGACCCCTGCATGGCTTCATATTTAAGCCAGGAATGACGCTGCCTGGATGTATCGCCTTGTTGTTGGTGTTGACGCTAGGCAAGCCTCAATTGCGTGCTTCTGATTGCATAACCACCCCTGGAAGAAAAATGAAAAAAAGGCCGTAGTCAACATAGGTCCCTGGCATGGACTTTCATCTCTTCCCCTTAGACAGTGCTGTTGCTACGACGAGACTGCAGCAGATACAGCTATTTTCTGGTTAACACAAAAAACATGGACAACGACGTGTCGCATCACTGGTTACAAGGGAGAGAGGATACAATTGCAATTGTCCTCGGCTTCCTCTTCTTGGTGACAGCGGGTGTCAGAATTGTCTATCTTGCGCGGAAATCCATCAAAGTCGAAGCATCTCTTCAACAGCAATGCAAATATTTCTTCTTGACGACAACTGTGACATTCCACTTCGCGCTCTTAGTTTTCCTTTTCATCGATCCCGCGACCGGCCTTTCGGCTGTGGTCGCGATTTGTGGGTTTCTGACGGCCATCGTGCTGATGATCCTTTCAATGTATGAGCATATTCGATCAATGGCACCGTCGACCCTCGTGCCACTCTACGTTATCGCAAGCCTTTCTTTGGATGTGGCCCAGTGTCGACGCCTGGGATCTCATGGCCAGCAAAGCGTACCTTACACCATCACTACCATGCTTGTGCTCAACAAGGTCGCAGTGATTCTCATCGAAGCCCTGCCAAAAAGGGGTATCTTGCTCGCTGCCTATCGGGATTGCAGTCCCTCCGACACTGCTGGTCCGTACAGCACGCTGTTGCTGTGGTGGATCAATCCTCTCTTATGGAAGGGATTCTTCACTCAATTTGGAGTTAACAATCTGTATCCTCTAGAGGTCGCTCTGTCCTCTTAACGCCTAGGGGATCGTTTTGATGCCGAATGGAAGCATTCCCGTCATTTATTGAGAGCGGTCACGAGGGTCCTGAAATATCATATTTTGGCCTCCGGCCTTCCTCAGTTACTTTTGATCGGGGTCAAATTCACTCAGCCATATCTCATCCAGGATACGACGAGGTTGGTAATGGACCCGGTCGAAAGCCAAAAGTGGCCTGCGTGGCGTCTGATAGGGATCTATGCCCTCATCTACACCGGAATCGCCCTACTCGGGGCTACCTCGAAGCACCAGATGAATCGGCTGGTTGTCAGCATTCGAGGGGGATTGGTCTCCCTTATCTATAACAAGAGCGTTGATCTAAGCATAACTGCCGTACAGAAAAAGGCTGCTTTGACGCTCATGTCCACTGACATCGACCGTATCACCATGTCCTGTGCAGACGTGCACCACGCCTGGGCGGCGGTTATCGAGGTAGCGGTGGCCCTGTATCTGCTGTACGCCCAGCTGGGTGTGGGCTTTCTGGCCCCGGGACTCTGCTTTGCGTGCGCCGTCGTGGCCATGGCAGCCTGTACACGGCTGTATCCACGGTACCAAAACGCCTGGGTGGAGACTATTCAAGAACGGACTTCAATAACCTCGACTATGCTCGGGTCCATCCGCAATCTAAAACTTCTGGGACTCTCAGCTATTATTGGAAGCCTTCTCCAGAGGTTAAGGGTACATGAAAATGTCGTGGCCCGCAAAATCCGTTGGATTACAGTGGTGCAGGTGGTCTTTCAAAACGTCACAAGCATCGCCGCGCCGCTGACCACCTTCGCACTTTACCTTGGCTGGGGTCAGTCCATTGGCAAGACCCTGGATGTTTCTGTCGCCTTCTCCATCCTCTCGGTCCTACAGCTTTTGGAACCCCCGTTGATGACGTTGGTTCAAACGCTACCGCATCTAGCTGGCGCGCTGGGCAGTTTTGACCGCATCGATGCATTTCTTCGGTCGCCTTCACGACAGGAATATCGACAATTAGCTCCAATCACTTCTACAACGGCGACGTTTGAAGGAACAAATGCTACGGTAGTCCTAGAAAATGCATCGTTCGGATGGGCAGAGGACAGGCCGGTGCTTTCCAACCTGCATCTCCGCATCCCACGGGGATCGCTGGTCATAGTAGTTGGCCCGACTGGGTGCGGAAAGAGCACCCTGCTAAAGGGAATCCTGGGAGAAACTCCCTGGTCATCTGGAATAGTTTCGTCGACTTCCTCGATAGGGTTTGCGGATCAGACCCCATGGACGGTCAATGATACGATTAAGGCTAGCATATGCGGTCAATCCCCTGAAGATGCCCTCCTGTATCACGAGGTCGTTGACTGTTGCGGCTTGCTGGAAGACATGAACAGTCTACCTGAAAAGGATGGGACCAGGATTGGATCAAACGGGATCGCGCTCAGCGGGGGGCAGAGACTTCGTCTTGCACTTGCTCGGGCGGTGTTTGCACAGAAGGAGCTACTTGTTCTTGATGATGTATTTAGTGGAGTGGATGCAGACACTGAAGAGCATATCTTTTGTCGACTTTTCTCTGGGTCTGGCCTTGCGCGACGGAGGGCAACCAGCATTATACTGGTGACCCATGCCGTCTCACGACTTCCCCTGGCAGACTGGGTGGTCGTGTTGTCGAAGGATGGAACAATCGCCGAACAGGGCACTTATGAGACTTTGATTCACAAGAGCGCAGGATATGTGGCCGGCCTCAATGTTGATGTCAAGCGCACTATGAATAATGACCATGACGCACGATCACATGCTGAACACGAGGATGTGGCAGTCAAGCAGCCGGCAGTTGTGGAAGCAAACGCAGCGGGAGAAGAGGAATCGAAAATAAAACAAGCGCCAACGGTGAAAGAATCACCCGCACCAAAGCATGGGGATTGGAAGACGATCACTGACTATTTTTCTGCGGCCGGTTGGTCGTGGATGGGGCTCTGCTGTCTATGGAGCCTGGTGTACATCACCGCGATCAAGGCACCAGGGTTGCTCTTGAACACTTTCAGCAGCCCAAGCAACAATTCTACCATCGTATTTACTTCGTCGTTTCTGGGCTGCCTAGGGTTGGCAGCTGCCGTCTCACTGGTGTCGCTCACCCTCCTGGTCTGGGGCTTCTTCCTCCGTGTCATTCCCCGAGTATCAAACGGTCTTCATCAAAAACTTCTGCACGCAGTGTTGCTGGCACCCATATCATTCTTTACCTCAACAGACTCCGGAACCGTGCTGAACCGCTTTACACAGGATCTCAGTGTTATTGACAATGAGCTTCCTGGTGTATTGATTGGGGTGATGTTGAAGCTGGCAATCTTTACTATCGGCGCGTGTATGATTGTGGCCTCCGCTACATACCTACTGGTCACTATTCCCCTGCTCATAATGGCTCTCATTGGTATTCAGCGATTTTATGTCCAGACCTCCCGTCAGCTCCGTACTCTCCGTCTAGAGCAACAAGCACCTTTATACACTCACTTCCAAGAAACCATTGCCGGTCTAACTAGTATTCGCGCCTTCGGCTGGACGGGAGCTTTCCGAGCCCGCAACGCGATACTCCTTGACAACAGTCAACGACCGATGTACCTGCTCAAAACTGTGCAAGCCTGGCTTGGCCTTGTGTTGAATCTCTTGGTTGCCGCGCTCGGCACTGTGCTCATCAGTACGATCGCCATGCTTCGCGATACCGTACACCCCGCAATCGTGGGGTTGGGCCTGTTGAATATCATGAGCTTTAATGAGAATCTGTCCGAATTAGTCCTTGTTTGGAGTTTGACAGAGACGTCCCTCAGTGCTCTGGCACGGGTGCGTGATTTCATCGAGGAGACTGAATCCGAAGAGAAGGACGGCGAGGTCAACTTGCTGCTGACTACGTGGCCCCAGGACGGAGCCGTGGAGTTTGATAACTTTGCTGCAGCGTATAGCAGTTCTGCGCCACTTGTTCTTCGAGACATTAACCTGCACATCCAGCCTGGCGAGAAGATAGGAGTCTGCGGCCGCACGGGAAGTGGTAAGTCCTCGCTCCTAGCTGCACTCTTCCACCTAGTGGAGTATCGGCAGGGATCGTTGAAGGTCGACGGGCAAGACCTGGCACATCTCTCACGATCGGAGCTCCGCCAGTCCTTGAATGTCATCACCCAGGAGCCCTTCTGCGTACATTCGGAAACTGTACGCTTCAATCTGGACCCATGGGAGGCGACCAGCCAGGATGATGTGATTCTCATCGGGGCGCTAGAGAAGTGTCAGCTCTGGTCGGTCATTGAGGCCAAGGGCGGATTAAATGCCATCCTGAAGATAGATTTCTTCAGCCATGGGCAGTGGCAGCTTTTCTGCCTGGCGCGGGCCATACTACGGAAGAGCAAGCTTGTAGTGTTGGACGAGGTTTCATCGTGGTAAGTAGAATTAGAGAAAGGGTTCTGGTCCATTATTAAGGGCTAACAAGAGAGCTACTGTGGCAGTGTTGATATCGAGACGGATCGTCGCATGCAGGAGATCATCCGGCACGAGTTTGATGGATGTACAATCATTGCGGTCGCCCATCGTCTAGACACGATCGTGGATTTTGATCGGGTGGTGGTGTTGGCAGACGGGCGAATAGTGGAGTGCGGCGCCCCACAGCAATTATTGGCGTGTGATGAAAGTTGGTTCAAGAGGCTATATGAGTCGTGAGGCATTGAAATGAGTGAGTCTTGTAGATACCGTATAACTATTGGAGGATGTGGCATCCGTCCTGATCCATCGGGAATGACCAAGGTCCTGCTCCGCAAGTTACTGCCATTAATACTGCAGAGTTCAAAGAGTAGTACTTCGTTATTAAAAACATAATTAAGAATAATTTGAATGAGACTGCGGGAGAATTTATAGTTCTGTCCTGTAAGATACTGTCAGATCCAATATAAATTAGATTGTTTATTTATTCATATTAGTAAGTTGTAGTATCTTTTACAGGTCTTTTCTACTTTTATTAAGATCTAGATTTATAGATCTATTATTATAATTATAATCTTATACTAGGTCTAGTCTAAATAATAGCTAGCTACTTTTTATAGATATTTACTAATTTTGTTTTATTATAATTCCCGCTCGTAATCTGTTATTATAAAAAAAATCMCATTTCAAAAAAAAAAAAAAAAAAAAAAAAAAAAAAAAAAGATAGGATCTAAGTAAGAGAGAATGAAATAAAATCTACTGAATAAGAATGCAAGATATATATGGAATCTAAATAAAAATAAGTAAATAAAATCGATTAAATGATATTATTAATATTATATTTAAAATTAGTATATCTAATCTTCGGGATAATTCTAATAAGAATCCCGGCTTTTATGAAAATTTAGTAGAATCTGATCTTATAGCTATAATCTAGAACTTCTATTATATTTAATATTTCATATTTTCTTATATTATTTATTTTCTGTCAATATCTTTCTGTGGAAAATCTGAACTAGGACCACTAGTAAAACTATTAATTATATATAAGAAAATAATCATGATTAACTTCAAATGTCTTCCGGTATCTCTTAAATAATTAAGGAGATATATATTAAGATTTTTTAAAAAGCCAAATAAAAATCATCTAAGCACCTGATCAATTAGATAATGTCTTATCTCTCTAAGTTGCCTTGTTGAAGCTGCTCTTTGGCCAGGGAGCTTATTATATTATCGCCTGGGTTGGCAATCCTTTCATCCAGGAGATGATCAAAGTATTTAAGATATTTCCTGAATAATAAAGACAGGTAAGAAGAATTATTCGCTTCCAGTATATTTAATAGAGTAACTTACTCGTTGGCAGATTGCGCCGCACCCGCAGTATTACCGCTATTGGTTTAAGTGGCATTGCAGTTGGTGAGATATATAAAGTCCTTATCCGGAATACCAAGAAGATTATAAATAATCTGTCAAGTGTTAAATCCTAGTCGGTCTTCGTAAAAATAGCGAATATGGATATAGCCTAAATGCATATGAGAGGGGATAGAAAGAGTGAAGTTCTCAACCCGGTCTACGCTTTGCTGGTCTGCTTTGGTTTTAATAAGCCTTTCCAAGTATCTTCGGACGGTGTGTTTATTGAATCCTTCACAGCTCTTAATATACTCAGGCTTGAAGGACCTCTAGACCACAAACCTGATAATGCCGTACTTACAATACTATGAATTGAGGCGAGCGATGAACCTCTGGTGACCGTGTACAGATGGATCCATGTTAATAAAAGTAGGACTGTTCTCAGCTCTTTTCTTTGCGCCTGCCGAGATCTCGGGATATCTATCTCTCTGGCGCACCTGTTCGATGTTAAGCATCAGCAGGTGGGTTGAGTTTGTAGGGAAGAGATGACAGATTTACCTTCAAGAGGCGTGGGTCGACCAAAATATTATAAGTTTCTTTAAGCTTAATAACCATCTAAGGACATGAGCCATCGAACAGATTTTTCCTGGACACGGGAATTGATTTTAAACATTCTTAGAATAATTTGGAACGTTGATTTTCATTTTCCCCTCCGAGAAGAGCAAAATTAAACTCTATTTGGGGAGAGCTGAATGGACCTGCTGCCGTCAGTATTTTTTGTTGCTCTAATATCTGATATATGCCTACTTGGTGCCATTTTAGGACCTGCAGATGGTGAGCTATGTTTGGTAACTTTGGAAAGTTGAATTTCTATAGTAGCTTTAGCCACAGATCTTTCTTTATCAATACCGCTATATTTATATGATATTACTCCCTATTAAAAATGGTATAGCGTTCTTGCATCTCGACCATCCGAAATTGTAAAATCGTCCAGTAATTGTCAATGGATGCGTCTTCCAGTAAAGCCGTACTGTCGCTTCCAGTCAATTATTTGCCGATAATGACAGGGTTTACCTGGTCAAGCAGTTCCTTGATGATGCCTTCGAAAGATATGCTCTATGATGTAGCTTGAGGTAATTATTCCTCAGCTAACTTGAAGCTAGCAGGTTAAGAAGAGAGCCAACTTGAAGGCCACTAATCTTGAAATGGGAAATCTCGTCTGAGTCAGTGTCGGCTATTGCGGGACGGCTCTTGCAGGATAGGTCCTGATGATGGATGGTTCATACACCTTTCAAGTTTGCGCCCACCGGTGGAGTTGAGCGGCATAAATGATGTAATTTTCAACCTTGTTTCATTTTGATCAAGACCACACAGGATGGAAATGTGGCTCTACTGTCAGATATCTCGTATATGTCATATAGTCGAATTTCTGTGTCGATGCTGCAATACGATACGTGTGAAGGCTCGACAGCTGTGAAGAAAAATGAAGAGTGCTCAAATGTATAGAGGCCACCTCCTATACATGTTAGATAAAGATAGTACACCTGAGCTACGTTCATGCGTTTTGTCTCTACCAAAAGCTTCATTCTCCTGCTCCAGGGTCTTGACCGTAGCCAAACAGGCCTCGTGGCTTTCTAGCGATGGGGCAGCAGGAGTTTCTCGACGCCCAGAACCTGATACCTGTGGTAGCTGGTGGATGAGCGATATCGGAAGAATGATCGGTATCGGGCAATTTTGCGTGTATGCTCACCATGAATGGCCGTCGAAGGGATAGAAAAGATTCATGAGGAGACCCCGTTACGGACTCTTGTGTTTGGATAGGTCGTGGCGCTCGGAAGCGGCGTTGTGACTGTCGGTCTTTCGGGTGCTTGCGCGGGTGCCTGCTTCTCGGCAAAACTTGATGGCAGGCGAACTGGCAGGATAGCAATGTGTATTCGGACTGCGCGTGTACCGTGCTGAAAGAAGAATTAGCCACTTCGGTATTAACCTTTGAAATAACCCATCTTATCGGTTACTCGGAGATTAATATTATTAGTTTTACGGTCGTTTAGTCGAGACTCAGGATTGGATGGATTAAAACCCTAACGACAAATTTCATTTTCTCGCTGTGTACAGTATCCTGCAGCTCATGGAAAGTCACTTTAACCAAAGTCTATCTATCCACTGGTCGCTAATAAATTTAACATGGCAGGACAAAGATCAAATTTGTCGACCCGATACCCCCTTCCATTTTTTAGGAATTTTATCCCTGAGCAGCACAGAGCCTCTGCGTAGATTCCCTGTCGATAGCCAATAAGACTATTCACTCACTATCAAATCCATATGCCTTCCATTTACGCGTGACCTTGTTCTGAATATGAGAGGGGTAAGATCCGCGGAAAGATCCTTCTTTCCAGCATAGTTTCTCATCCACAAACTCGCAAGGAAACATGCAGCAGCGTACAACCTTCGGGTGATTGCCATGCTCCGGCTTGATGCCATACCCGACGTACGGAATCAAGGGAATATTTCCGTATTCCTCAAAAAAGAATTCATTTGTCAAAGGCTGGCAGCGAGTAGATTCTGCCCAGATTACATCTCGGAGATCTGTCGGGTCGATGTCCTCGCCAACCAGATATAGTTTCGGGATATACCAGCCAGGCTTTGATCCAAAGACAGTATGGCCCACCTGTTTGCTGAAGTCTTGGATGTTTGTGTTCAAGGCTCTCAACCTCTGCCGGTCAACCTGGAGGACAAACCACAGACAATGGGACTCAAAGGGACACCAAACCATCTTGATTGGCAGTCCTGCGGCTTGACACACGTTCAAAACCTCAGCAGCCTGCATGATGCCCCATACAGTGTGATTTTCTTCCGTAGCTCTTCCTGCCACACAGAGTGGCAAGATCGGATCATGTCTGTAGGTAATTGCATTCACCTTGAAGAGAGATTTGTTCTTTGCCTCTCCTGGGAAGATCATACCATGATACTCCGCCATTGGGCCTTCAGGGCCAACTTCGGTAGTAGATACCACACCTTTCTTGCAATATTCAAATTAGCAGGATCCTATATGGGCTCGAATCTTTAAAATGAATCTTACCTTCTAGGACAAATTCTGCATTCATGGGGACGTAGAGGTCGTTTGTCTCGCACTTCACTACTTTCACGGGCTTTCCAGACAACACACCTACGAATCCAGCTTCATCCGTCCACTTGGGAATTGGCATGCCACCTGCCATTATGGCAGCCGGAGGGACTCCAAAGCAAAGAGCCCATGGCATGTCCTGCCCTCTCTCTTTCCACATCTGCCATATTACACCAATGTCCTGTTTTAGAATAACAGGTCCAACAAGTGAACGTTTATCATGAACCATCCCCCGAGTGATTGACCAATTGGTCCAGCACCCATCGGGGGTTCTCACAATATGCATACCAAAAGTTTGCAGGTACTTCCCACCATCTCCGTCGTGATGGAAGGGGACTGGCAGAGCGTTCAGGTCGATGTCGTCACCAAAGAGTTTGTACTGTTTAACGGGTGCTTTATCAGGCGTAACTTCGACAGGAGATAAAGGCAACATGCTTTTGCACTTCTTGATCTTGTCGATAATTTCTTCGCCAGTCGCAGTAGAATGTAGCCCCAGCGATTTCGCGATACGGCCGAATCGATGGCCAGGAATGCGACTCAATCCGATGGGAGCTCCTAGAATACGAAAAAGGCCGCTACCCTGACGACCTCTAATATTCTCAAACAGGGGGGCCTTCTCCTCGGTCTCGTAGACTTTGCGTGTAATAGCCGCAAGTTCCAGATGGGGGTCAACCTCTTTGGTAATGACAATCAGGTCATTTTCATCTTCCAGCTCCTTGATAAATTGGCGAAAGTCATCTGCCGCACCCACTGTTTCGACGCTAGTTGTCTCCATTGCTGTAGAAAGGTTAGGTTTGAGACCAATAAGTGCAGTCAAGCATAAAAGAGGTGTATATTGGCAATGTACTTTNCTACCCTTATATACATGAACCTTGTGCCGGTCTCCAAAATCAATGCCGAATATCCCGCAGTCGAAGCCAGCCAATTTACGGAGTACGGTCTATACCTTGCGTAGTTTATGATCTCAGGGCGGAACGGAAAGGGGTAAAATGATTGGCCATGCTCCATTCTACAACTGCGGGCCGATGCGGATGGATGCGGATTCCCCAATTTGGGGTACGGGGCTCACCACTTACATTGTGGTAGATGTCGACATAATAGAGAAGACAGATTGGAGCTCCAATTTGGAGAGGTTCTCGCTCCGGATCACTGGATTGGGCTGGCCCAGATGGCCCTCGGCAACGGTCCGTGTAAGCTCTTTCAGGTTATAGTCTACTAACACGACAACCATACCCGACCAATAATCGCAGAAAATATTTTCGACGATTCAGTAGACGATATTATCAGATCATTATCACATAATAAATACCTCGTGCTACTTTCATATCGACATGAATCCTCTTTAGATTCCAAATATTGTCTCACTTTTCAACATGGACGTTCATACCACTGATCAAAGCGTTTCCACCTCGTCCTGGGGCGAAAGCCAGTCCAAACGTTCCCAACGGCGCAAAATTGTCGTTGCTATCACAGGAGCCACTGGGTCTATTTTTGGGATCAAAGCACTCATCAGTCTTCGTCACCTGAACGTTGAAACTCATCTTATTATCAGCAAATGGGCCGAAGCAACAATCAAATACGAGACCGACTATACAATTGCCAATGTCCGCGCGTTGGCCGATCATGTTTATAATGTTCACGATATGGCAGCCCCAATATCCAGCGGCTCTTTCCGTGTCGATGGGATGATTGTTGCACCATGCAGTGTCAAAACGCTTGCTGTCATAAATTCTGGGGTTTGCAGCGATCTGGTTTCCCGGGCTGCAGATGTGATGTTGAAAGAGCGGCGCAGGCTAGTCCTTGCTCTCAGGGAAACCCCTCTGAGTCTAATACATCTGCAAAACATGATATCCGTGACGCAAGCTGGCGCTATTATTTTCCCACCTGTGCCCGCATTCTACACAAAACCGTCTTCAATGGACGACTTGGTGGACCACAGCGTGGGACGGATGCTGGATCTTTTTGACCTAGATACGGCAGGGTTCGAACGATGGAAAGGATGGAAAAGAGACTGAAGCATTCTCCTTCCATTGCTGCCTTCCGAAGAATTGAGATGCATAGATTTTTCCCATTCTGCAGACTTGGAAGAAATTAACCACTACAAAGCACAATGAACAAGTTGTATTCCCACTTTCTGATTATTAATTTCATGTTCAGTTCTGTACCTTCTAGTCTAATTACAAGAGAAAAGTCTTGGATAACTCAAACCTACTCCTTGAGTATTCCCAATCTACTGGGGTCGGGGTATTGCATATGTGATTCTATTAAAATTTCTGCCATTTATTTATGACTGATTTTTTTGGTATAAAATATAGTTTTCTGAACTTCCAGAATATAGTGCTTTTGCGTAATATTAAAAGGGGAAGAATAAAAAACTTCTGAATAGTAATAGCAGTGATTAGACATGGCATTCAGGCAAGTCGGGCGAGTTTTGGGGAGTCTAGGCTCGCCCGACCTCGGACCCCAGCCCTGATTAGCCATGCTCAGCTTGGTAACATACTTATTAGATTAACAGATAATTTATCTATATAATATATCAGAATCTGCTAAGTATATTGAATGATATAATTTTATTAGTTCAAATTAGAATATGCTAAGTTATTCCGCATGTATATAATAAAAGGATTTAAATAATAAAACCAGTTATATTTATATAAAGCTAGGGATTAAATAATTTACCAAATATAATAATGGTTGGCTGGAAAAATAGGATCTCTGACTTATCAAATTACTAATTCAATTATTAAGAAGAACTATTCTTGAAACTGCCTAATCTACCTGAAATTCCCATATGAATTCATAGGAATTCCAGATCAGAAGGATATAAAACAGATGAATCATTATGGATTATTTCTACAAGACTTTTTCATGTGAAATCTTGTAAGTTGTATTATTCATACTATTCTAACAATTCTATTTATATTTCTTTATTTACTGTTATTTGTTCCACTTGCTTACCCCACTTTCTTTATTTAGTACTTAAACTGATAATTTATGATTCTGATCTAGAATTATTTACTAAAATTAATAAATAAGATCTTTCAGTCTGTGATAGGATAACCCAGTTATCGGGGCCATAGTCATAGGAATGACATATTATAATGGTTATAAGAGTTGTGAGGTTATTAATAGTGGTTCTATATCTTTCTGATATGTAGTAGGGAAATCTTCACTTAGAGTGGTTAACGGCCAGGGTAGGGTAGGTTAATGGAAAAATTTATACCTGCCGTCAGGTTAACAGTTAGATATAAGATTTCCTTATACTTAAGCGCGGAACAGCTAAAAATAGAACAGTTAATTATCTTAACTATTCTTGGCGCTAAGATGTATCTGCTATATTCTTTTAAATTATAATATAAATAAGATATATTCAGATTAATAATTATTTATTTTAATTATTTATATCTTTTTAAATAATTAATATAAGACTAATCTTCTTAATTGTAAAAATAATTAGAAGAAAGAAATAAGTATATTTTATTTTATTCTAATCTATGTAATCCAATGTCACCTTGGATAGTGGTAAAAATTAAATTTATAAAAAAAAACTATTCTTATAATCTGAAATAGTAATAAATATATATATTTACAGTTCTATTTTAATTATATATTATTTATAAATTATAAATATCTTCTAAACCACCTTCCCAGGCTGGTAAATCTTTCTGAAAATTACATTATATATTAATAAATAAATTTATTATTTTTTTATAAACTTAAAAAGACTTCCAAGTATGTATAATAAATCTAAATATTATAAATTATTTATATTATTTAATTATAATATTCCATGCTACTCTGTCTACTTAATCTATCTAAAAATCTATATTTTTTATTAATTATAAATATAAAAATTTAGATAATATTTTATTAAGATCTGTAAAAAACTTTTACAGACTCTATTAATAATGTTACTATAATAATTATAGAATATTTTTATAGAACTTCTACTTATATTCTCTAGAATTAATTTTATAAATTATTATTTTTATAAAAATTATAAAAAATAAATATTCCAGTACATCTCTAAGTATATTATTAAATAAATACTGGATAAAGAATTATTATAAATATATAAATATTAATAATATTTTTATAAATACTAATTCCAGAATCTTATTTTTATATAAAATTCCTGGATTCTTTAATAGATTATTATTATTAATATCTATTATACTGTCTCTAAACTCCCGCTGTCTATAATAAAAGAAATTTTTTTAATTAAATATTATATTTTTTTATTATTCACCGTCTACTGTTTTATATTATTAAATATATTTAATTTAAATAAATAATTAATTTTACTGCTCTAGCACTTTGTCAAACCCTAGGATCGCTTCCCTGTCCCAGTTAGCTTAGCCCCGTTGGTATACGTACCGCCGAACTACGTCGAGGTGGTATCGACTAATGACTATCTGAGAGACAACTAGGTCGTGGACAAGAGAAGAGAAGTAAGGCCGAATAGTATCATGCAGCTATTTATAAGTAAGTACAGATGAGCGTTCTGTAGCTAAGCTTCTAAATATATAATTACTTAAAGACAGTTGTATTAAGCATGAAGAACAGAATTAACTAAGTATATAAGAGAGTATTCTTATATATCTTATTCTTTATATATTATATTATATACCATCGGGTCTACTGTATACCAGTATAGTAGTTGTAGACTATAATAGTATATTGTATACTATATATTAGTTCATATATCATAGTTATATATTATAAGACTGTTCCGGGCGTTGTATTCATAATCTGTGATTATATTAAATAATAGTTTGGCTTTGCCCGAGCGCTGCTCTTATCAGTACTTTCTGCCTGGTGAATCTGTCTTACTAGTAGATTAATTAATAAAAATCTGTAATATCACTTCTCCTTCTTTGAGGTTTCTTATTCCTAAGAAACATAAAGGTGTATGTCTCTCTGTATATATTAATGTGATAGGATCTACTTGTCAGGGTAGAAAGCCTGTCGACTAGGTAAGAAATCAGCCACCAAATGTAATAGATTTATCTAATAGTAACAAAGGTAGTCTATATCCACAGAGTAGATTAATTCTTAAGAAATCAGTAGCTCCTTACAAAGGGATTGATATCTTATAGATATCAGAGAGATATAGAACTATTATTAATAATCTTATAACTTTTATAACTATTATAATATGTTATTTAATGCTCAAGACCCTGATAGCTGGGTTATTCTATTATAAATAACATCTTTCTTTACTGGGACGAGCCACCTGGCTCAGATATTAAAAATAATCTTATATATTTCTGATTTAGAATAATATAAATCTGATAGTAAAAAACAGAAAATCTGCGGGAAATATTGTAAAGATAAGATTACATGCCGTTTTTATATAGCTTTGAGAATATTTAATTGTATTTATATAAATAAATTAATAGAAAAGAAGTATAAATAAAAGATTTTTTTATATTACTTTTCTTTCTTCTCCTCTTTTATCTCGGGGTCGTTGTTTTTTTGGTGGTTTGGTATTATTTTATTTATTCTTTACTATTTTTTCATCAGTTCTTTATTATTTTTATTATTATATATTAATCACTTGGCAATTAAATATCTTTTTATATTTATTTTCTACTTTATTTATTTTCAGATTATATGTTTTATATTAGATTCTTCAATATATCTTCTAAGGCTGCTTCTAAGAGCGAGATTTATATATTACATAGACAGTTTATTAAAATATAATACTTTTTCTATATATATTACTTACGTACAGTGAATACTAACTTTGATATCTTAGAAGAAGTGCTGTATAATATTAGTTATTATTTAGATATTTATATCTCTATACTATACTATTAATATACTAAGAAGAGAAAAATATATATTTTTGTATATATTACTTAATTTTCTTTGTTATACTAGATACGAAGCTAATATTGACTAGATCTCCGCGGGTATATTAGATAATATTTATAACTTTACTAAGATTCTTAAATAGTAAGTAGTTTTAATGGACTTAGACCAGTGGAATACAGATATTAAATATATTATTTTCAAAGAAATATTAAATCTAATTATTATATATAACTATATAGAGTTGGTTTATATCTGTCAGTTTAGTCTAAAAAATCCCGAAAGGCTATTCAAATATAAATATCTTATAGATTACTAGAATAGATAACTAATTAATAGTATTTAAATAGAAGAACTTAGAGAAATATAATATATTTTTTATTATTTATTATAAAATATTCAGCCTGTTAACTTCTCTTTTTTTAATTAATACTATCTTCGAGGAGTATCAGGTATCTGAATACAATTTTCTATTATATTTAATATTAGAAAATAAAAATTATATAATTTAGATATTAATTTTAAAATATTATTTAAATACTATTATTAATATAATCTGTATCTAATTTTTTAATATTACTGACGAAGCTGTATCAGATAATAGAAATAAATTTAGTAAATATATCTCAGCTTTTTAAGATTAGATAAACTTATTAGATATATTTTCTATTTTTATTTCTAG